TATCTTGCAAGATTGGTCCTATTTTTAAAAAATTAAGCAAAACGATGAGTTCTATGATACAATGGCACATAGTATCACAGAATGGTGGTGTGCATTTTTGATATCTGCAGTGTTTTGCACCGTGTGTTTTGCACTCTCAAAGGAGCTACCAAGAAAAGGCACGGAGCACAGTTTTAATATCTGTTGCCTGCAGAGGGAACCCCTGTCTGGGCTAGCGGTTAGACACTGGTGTCATAACTTTGCAGTTACCAGGTTATAGATCATTCACATGGCCAAAATGAGGAGTTGTGTCATGTTACGCCATAGGTAGAGGGTGGGACACCTGGAGGGTGAGTCAGCACAGAAGGTTCTCAGTACTTCCTGCACTTCACTAAATTTGCAGCATTATGGGTTGAGGAAGTCTAGCTGCCAACATCAATACGGAATGGTTTGTGGCACAACAGCCAAAAAATTATAATAGTAATTGAAAGTAAGGAACAAGGTGTATGAGAAGTGGGATAAGGAGGGGTGAAGTCTCATGTGGAGTATAAAGACTAGATAGGCTGAATGGCCTGTTTCTGTGGTGTAACATTATCAGTAATTCCATGTCATTATATGAGGATTTTTAGTTCAATCCATTCCTCTCCAAGTACACATGAAGACAGATATCTGAGCACACTTGTATTTCTCATGAACAGTGTTGAAATACTTTGTTTAAACATGGAATCATTTCTACAAGTGAAGTCAAACAGTTGGGATCCAATGAAAAGCAATGTAAACAGAAGGATTGATTAAGACTATGGGGGTGAAAATTGTTGTGTTTCATAATGCATTCCTTTTGATAACTACAAGGCATTTCATAATGAGTTCCTTGTGACAATTATTTCATGGCAGTGTTATTTACCTAGACTAATTTCCATAATATTAGCAACGATGGACATCAATAGCATTTATTCACCAATTGAATAGCAAGACTAGTTTGCCCTGCATCTATTTTAAACTGAACCTATTCAATCAAAGTAAAAGTGTCTCAATTGTGTTCAGGGTTAAAATGAGATAGATTGACAAAACAGTAACCCATGAACTTTCCAGATCCTCAGACCATAATGACACCTCTGTAGGGCGAGAGCTGTGATTTTCTTGTTCTACATCACACCCTCCAATTTTTTTGAATCTGGGTTACATCTATAGAATAAGACCTACACCCAGGCTTGTACCAATGCTGAATGGAACCTACTATTAGGCCATCAGACATAAGGTCACTGGTACTCTGATTTCCTCTCCCTTTCTGTAGGGAAAAACCCAACCTCCATCTGGGTCCTCCCTGTGGTGACAGTGTTGATTCTGGGAACCCAGAAACTAAAAAGACACAAGGTTTGCTTCCATCTCTGATACATATATCCTTCACCCTTACCTCACTCCACTGCTGCTGAAACTCTTATCCCATACCTATGTCATCTTGAGGATAGTTCTCCTTGTTCAACAGTACCCGTTGCTTTCGTTCCTCTGGGTCTGGCCTCCTACTCGTCCCCCGAGGCCTCCGCTCCACCCTCAGCGGCCGTGTCTTCAGCCACTATGCCCCAAGGCTCTGGAACTCCCTTCCTCACTCCCTTCGTCTCATTCCCTCCCTTCCCATTTTCAGGTCTCTGCTGAAGACCTTTCTTTTCAACCGCGCCTTTGGTCACCTTCCCCCCCTCCCCCTGGCTCGCTCCCGAGATCCGTTACTGTAAAGCGCTCTGAGACGCCGTCCGGCATGGAGGGTGCTATATAAGTAAGTTGTTGTTGTTGTTGTTCATTTGATAAAGTATTGTGACAATTATGTCATGCCTCTGTTATGAATATATATGACATGGATTGGAGTCTTACAGCCTTTTCCACTCGTGCAGACTACGTTTCATAATATTAGCAACAATGGACACCAATGTTCTCCTTGCCTACCTCCTCAGCTCCACTCTCCAAAAGCTAATATGATTCCAGAATGATGCAGTTAAGTTGTCTCCCACACAAAGCACTGACCACCATTATAACCATTTTTTCCAAGCTTTATTGGCTCTCAATGCATCAGACAATTGATTGCAATTTAATTGGAAAATGCAACAAATGTTGTTTTGTTTGCTTTCCCAAATACAACTCAAGCAATTTACAGGTTCAAATGAATTATTGAGTTCTTTTTTCATAGTGAAAAAACACCTGGTGTTCATTGATCCTTGTGAAATGATAAAAAAATAATCTATTCATGGCAGCATTGTACCATCTAAAAAGTATCCTCTGTATTCATGTCTCTATACATATCTCATCTCATTGAACTTCTCTTTCAGTGATATTAGGTTTACAAATATTTCTGGCTTTACAAAAATCAAAGGCAATGAGTTGAGTGTATTTTGAAAAGTGTCCCTTTATTTTGACCAAGAAAATAAAGAATGTTGTTTATTGTGCTTTCAGCTGTAGTTCAAGGAGTTCAAAATCCTGTTCTGGAACTCCAATTCGGCTGCTTTGCCAGAAGGCATCAAGTTTATATTCCAGTTTGCTTTTCAAAATTCTGTTTAAATGACATATGTTTATGTAATACAGCATTAAAAATGAAATGTTGGAGAGTGGATGGTGCAGTAGGAAATCAGTCAAGTATTCCTGCTCCTCACAGCTGCCCAGTGACTCCTGCTGGAAAGAGAGTTTATGTTGTGTTCTTCTTGATTACAGGGTACGGTTGATCTATGATCTTTTCTGACGTTCACTATCTACACATTAAAAATTGCTGCTTGGATGAAGTACATAGAAACAGCAGGGGCTTTTTGTCGGTTTATTAAATCAGGGCCGATGCCATTTCCCTACTTTTTTTCACCTAGTCTCCTTAATTCCTTTAATCCCCAAGTATCTATCTCCTTTTTAAACATTCCCAATTGATTTGGGTTCTACAGTTTTCTGGGGGATGTGCCACACATTAAGTTAACTAACTTCATAAGGCTAGCCTGTATAATAATATATAATACAGTAAATCATTGCTTAATCCACAGTTAAGAGCATCTTGTCCAATTTTGGGGCGCACACTTAGGGAAGAATATCAAAACCAGAGAAGATTCCCTGGAATTATACCAGGGATGGGAAGAGAATTTGTTTTGCACAGATGTTTTTGGGACATGGTATTGGTCTGCTTAAAACAATACTTGAGTATAATCCGTAATAGCTTTTAAGGAGGAAGTAGATAAATAATAGTAGTGGAGAAATATTAAAGGGTATAGGGAAAAGTCAGGAGAGTGGTACAAGTACTAAAAGGATAGCTATTTCAGACTGCAGCTCCGGTATCTATGAGTCGTTTGCTTGTAAATTTCGATGTAAATTTCATGACAGTAATGGGAAAAGAAAAATTGAAAGCCTAAAATACCTGAGTGTTTTCAGTGTAATGTAATGAAAAGCAGACACGTCAATGCAGATAATTTGCTGTTTGCCTCAACACCAATTGATGGCAGTATTTTTAATTTATTTTCCCGGTGAATCGGAGATTATGTTTTTTTTAAAAAACACGCAATGCAGTCAGTGCCCGATCAGTCAGTCAAGTCAAGTCAGTCAAAAGGGGCACGTTTGGCAAAGACAAGAGGCAGCTTGAAACATTAAAATGAATGCAGCGATACAGACAGGGAGGGAGACCGCGTCATGTCACATCAATGGGGGTTGTTTTAGAAGATTGCTTTTGTGTGTGTGCGAAGGCAAGAAAGACCTGCTTCAGACAGACAAGACAGACAGACTGACAGAGAGTGAGGGAGAGAGTGACACACAGACTGTTTGAATTCTGAAACAATTCCTAATGTTAACACACCATTGAACGTCATTGCGTGTTGAACCTTGTGTGTGTGTGGGGGGGGGGGAAGGGGAGATATATATAATATATATATATAGGAAAATACTGCCCAGTCTAAATTAAGGCATGGATTCACAAACGCCACCCTCCCTGCCAGAGTCCATTGGCAATGAGCCACCAACACAAATTCTCCCAGAGTCAGAGCCACAACAACAACAACAACAGCCCCAACTGGTGGGGGTTGGAGGGGTGGGAGAGTGGGAAAGGGGGGGTGGTGGGGGTTGGGTGGGGGGGTGGCAGGGGGGGTTGGGGTTGGGTGGTTGGGTGTGTGGGGGGGTTGGGTTTGGGGGGTGGGGGTTTGGGGGTGTGGGGGGTTGGGGATTGGGGGGTGGGGGGTTGGGGGTGGGAGGTGGGGGTGGGGGTTTGGGGGGGGTTGGGTGTGGGGGGGGAGTTTGGGGGTGGGGGTTTGGGGGGGTTGGGGGTTTGGGGGGGTGGGGGGTTGGGGGGTTGGGGGTGGGGGTTTGGGGGGTGGTTGGGTGTGTGGGGGGTTGGAGTTTGGGGGTGGGGTTTGGGGGGGTGGGGGGTTGGGGATTGGGGGGTTGGGGGGTGGGAGGTGGGGGTTTGGGGGGTTGGGGGTGGGGGGTTGGAGTTTGGGGGTGGGGGTTTGGGGGGTGTGGGGGTGGGGTTTGGGGGGGTTGGGGGTTTGGGGGGGTTGGGGTTTGGGGGTGTGGGTTTGGGGGTGGGAGGTGGGGGTTTGGGGGGTTGGGGATTGGGGGGTGTGGGGGGGTTGGGGGGTGGGGGTTTGGGGGGTGGGGGGGAGGGAGTGAGCAGCAGAGCAGTGAGTGTGAGGGAGTCCCGCCTCCCGGCGGCTCGGCTCTCCCATTGGTCGGCTCCGGGCGATTATTTGGCGACATCAACGGTAACCCTGAGCGGCGGCGGCCGCCGATTGGTCGAGCGCCGCGTTCGTCAGCGGCCCCTCCCCCACCACCACCCTCGCGGGCGGGGCCGCCCGGGGATGGGTGGGCGGGGCCCGGGGGCGGGGGGGCGGGGCCTGGGGATGGGTGGGAGGGGCCGTCTTCCGCCATTGGGCGGCGATTCGTTTGTGTTCCCAAAGTCTTGCGGCGCGGAAAGTGCAGAGCGAAGGACGACCGGAGCTCTCCCTCTCCCTCTCTCGGGGGGCAATTCCTCTCCGCTGTAGCCATGGGGCCCGAGTGAAAGTTTTTTGGGTGTGTGTGTGTGTGTGGGGGGGGTGTGGGGGGGGAGACAGAGAGAGAGAGGGGGAGAACCAGGCGACTTCCCCCAAATGGAGACTGTGTTCCTCGCGCTGCTCTTCTCCTCCACTCGCTGCTGTTTGGCAGCAACAGGTACGTACGTATGTAAATGAATGTGTGCGGTGGTGTGTTTTGCTTTTACTTTGGTCGCGAGTTTTTGTTCAGTTCAGTCCTGGGTCCCCCGAGAGGCGGACGGGGTGGGTTTTTTTTGATGCTGCTGCTGTGTGTCTGTGTATGTGTGTCTCTGTGTATGTGTGTCTCTGTGTATGTGTGTCTCTGTGTATGTGTGTCTCTGTGTATGTGTGTGTCTGTGTGTGTGTCTGTATGTGTGTGTGTCTGTATGTGTGTGTCTGTGTATGTGTCTATATGTGTGTCTGTGTGTGTGTGTCTGTGTGTGTGTGTGTGTCTGTGTGTGTGTGTCTGTGTGTGTGTGTCTGTGTGTGTGTGTCTGTGTGTGTGTGTCTGTGTGTGTGTCTGTGTGTGTCTCTCTCTGTGTCTCTCTGTGTCTCTCTGTGTCTGTCTGTGTCTGTCTGTGTGTCTCTGTGTCTGTCTGTGTGTCTCTGTGTCTGTGTGTGTGTCTGTATATTTTTGTGTGTCTGTGTGTGTGTGTGTCTGTGTCACTGTGCGTGTGTGTGTGTGTGTGTCTGTGTCTGTCTGTGTGTCTCTGTGTGTCTGTGTGTGTGTGTGTCTGTGTCTCTCTGTGTGTGTGTGTGTCTGTGTGTGTGTCTGTGTGTGTGTGTCTCTGTCTGTCTGTCTGTCTGTGTGTCTGTCTGTGTGTCTGTCTGTGTGTGTGTCTGTGTCTGTCTGTGTGTCTCTGTGTCTGTCTGTGTGTCTCTGTGTCTGTCTGTGTGTCTGTATGTTTTTGTGTGTCTGTGTGTGTGTGTGTCTGTCTGTGTGTGTCTGTCTGTGTCTGTGTGTGTGTCTGTGTGTCTGTGTGTGTGTCTGTCTGTGTGTGTGTGTGTGGCCCTGACTGGCTGTGGGTGGGAGCTCCGCGTTGGCTCAGTTTCCTTTCTGAATTAAGTTGCTTTATTTTTCTCTCTCTCTTCTCTCTCTCTCTTTATAAAAAAGGACACGTAGGTTTCATTGTCTGTCGTGTCTGTGTCGGTGGCTCTCTTCATTTGCTGTAACCCCCACAACCCCCCAAAAAAAATATATACATATCATTTTAAGGGCCATAATCATAACCCTGAGCGAAGATGGTGAGGTGTTTGGATAGTTTACTCTCTGAAAGAAAAAAGAGAGAGAGAGAGAGAGAGAGGTCGCGTTGTGTGAAAGGTTTCCAAAAAAAAAGGAATAACCAATCAATCCACCGAAGGCCTCAGACAGGAAAAAAAAGGGTAAAGATAAGACGAGGTGTCGGGTGTCACTTGTGTGTGTGTTGTGTGTGTGTGAAAAAAAAGAGCTTCTGAGAGAGTTTGTGTCGAAGTCCAAACAGCAACTTCGCAAACTCCCCCCAAACATTTTCTGTGGGAAGTGGGAATACAAGTAACAAGTGCAGCACTGACTGACACACACACACACACACACACACACAGCAAAATAAACCACACTCGTGTGACAACTGAGTTATTGAAATAAAATGTATCTCTGACGCTCCCTCTGTGCTGTGAGAGGATACAAACTATCAGCTTCGAGAGGATACAAACTGTCCACTGCACACAGGGAATCCCCGAGGAGATCTTTATACGTGGGTTTGTACTCGAAAAAGCCATCCACCCCCAACCCCCCACCATCCCCCACCCCACCCCCCGACTTCACTGCTGAGAATATTGTTTCGAGACAAATTTCAATCCGTTTTAAAATGGCGAGGAATGTGTATTGCTGAGAGCAGAAAATCACCAGTAAAACCCATGGGATCAAATTGCGAGAGAAGTTGTGTTTGTAAGGGGATGGGGGGGCTGTGGGGGGCTGTGGGGGGGGGGGGGGGGAGTGAGGTTTGAGTTCACTGTGAATTCATCCATTATTCTCAACAAAAATAAACTAATTTCATTTAATTGGTGGTCGGGCGATCCAACGCTGAGTCCAGCACCATCAAAATATTATAGTCCCCGAGTACTTTACGTACAGTGACTTGTGTTTTATATAAGCAGTTGATTTTTGTTTGAATTCTACAAGATGCTTTCCCGAAATCTTCCGCTGGGCTTGGAAGTTTGGAGCGCAGTCCGGTGTGCGAAATATAAGGGCGACGTAAATTGGGAAATGGTTTCCGCTGCTACCATTTGTTTTGCCAATAATCATTATGGGAAATTTAACGCAGATTGTTTGACTGGGTAGCAGAGTACATTTAGAAAATGGGCATGTCATCAAGCCGGCACATTGCATTTAGGTCCCCTTAATGTTTCCTTTCAATGAAATGTACACCAAATCTGTGGGTGTCATCGTTTTCTAGGCATACGTTTTAAATATTTAAAAATGCTTCATTTTACTGGTTGAAGAGATTTCAGTGGTTCTGAGATTTTAAACACTAAGCCAACGCATAACTGCTTTGTTTTGTCTTTTGCCGAAACTGACACCTATGTGTGTCATTTTGAAATGCGAAATTTATGCTCCAATTAGGAAGGATTGCGAGAGTTAATTCTGAAGTAGAAATTGCTTTAAAAATGTTTTTTTAAATATTGCTCCAGCTTCATAACTACAAACCATGATTACTGAACTGCTTGTGTTGATGTCTCCTCTTGAATTTAACTCCAAGTTGTTACTTTGCTGATAATTGCTGTTAAATTTACAAGCACTATTGTGTTCTTGGAAGTAAAGAATCTTTTGAGTCAGGAAAATTGTGTGTGTGGGGGGGGGGGATATTTTCTGACAAATATGTGTGAGAATCATCATTTTTTAGATCAGCCATTCATACCTGAGACAATGAAACCCGATAAGATTGGAGTATTGCTTCGGGTAATGTGCTCACATTTATAGAATACAGAGGTTTACAGGAAAAAAAAGACTGAAATAAAAGAATTGTAGTTATAAACCTGTTCACTGCCTTTGATTTTATTGCATGTTTTCGTCTCAAGCAAAGTAATAAGTTATGATCCTGTCATTCCATTTAGGTGGTGGGTGTGGGGGATGATTTACTCCCAGGCTGTACCAACAGAGTGTGTAATCTGGTCATAGGTTGACTGTAACCCACCCCCCCCTGTAATTTTCTCACAACATCCTATGCTTCCTCACAAGTGTTGTGCTTGGTCTCTGTGTTTTGAGAGGGGCCAGATGGACACTGCCACTCAATATTCCATTCCTCTCGTCTCTCTGACACCAGTATATATGCTATAGAAGCAGACTTGTATTAGTTTAAAAAAACGTACAATTGGGCTTCATGTCAGATTTTTAGCTTGGTATTTTAGTTTACTCATTTTTTCCATTTTCAAAACTTGTGAAGTTAGTCAGCTATAAATTCTGTGCTGAATAATATTCAGTATCTAGTTCTGTTTATATAATTTTGTAATACCTTGATGTCCTTTTTTTAAGAAAAAACGAACCAGTTTTTCCGTTGGCCAACTTGTTGCTTACTTTCAGTTAATAAATGCTCAGATAAAAGAAACCTCAGTTCTGATGTGCCAAGACTTTCTCCGATTGTCTGATTTATTAGGAATAAACTGTTTCAAGATCTGCCAAGTGCTTTAATTGGTCCAAGCTCGTACATCTTAGGAAGTGGTTTAAGGTGAAAATCTGGTGAATGCTTTGTTGTGCTGCGATAAATTCCTTCATATGTCTTCATATAAGTTTTTCCACTTGATTTTCTTCACTTTCTCTCCCATTCTGAATCCACACATCATCATCGGGAATTAGTGAGTTCTGAATTCACAACCTGAGATATCACTCAATTGTGCAGCATGGATGAAGGGACAGTCTGTGAAAAACAGAAAACAGTTTAAATTGCAGATCTGGAATCTGTTCAAAGTTTGAATTGTTGTCCAAAGTATTTTTCACTTCAACTTCTAACTCTATAAGTACAACTTCAAAGGTTTCGTAAAGAAACCTGGTGATAACTACTGCACTTATCAATTTTTTATTTATTTTTTTCTCTTCAATTTTTATTCACCAGATATTCCTCTCGCTTATCCTGAAAGCATTTGATTCCTTCACCCAAAAGGAAATAGTTCCACAGGTGCTGATCTGGCTCTAGGTCTTTGCCCAAGTAACGATTATTCATGTGTCAGCAGTCAGCAGCTGCAAGGGTCATCAATGCGAAGGCTGATCATGGCTTTATCACATGTTTTCGTGATAAAGCCGTATGGGCAATTCCAGTAGGATTGGTGGATTGGTGGATAGCGAGCTTCCCATCACCACTTCTTCCCTCTCCCTCCAGTCTGGGCACTAAGGCCAATTCTAGCTCAACTTTGTGTCACACTGGTGCCCTTTGCCAATCTCAGTTGGAACCTCAGACATTCTCGTTCTTTATGGCTCTGAGACACGCGGAAAAGCTGAGGGTGAACCTGAGCAAAGATTTTTTTTTTAAAAAAGTGCTTTGGAAATGTTGGGCGAGTGTGAAGAGGGCAAGGAACAGAGAGAGAGAGAGAGCTCAAATGATCTTAAAGTGTTCCTTTTAGATGGAAGAGAGATGGAAATACAAAGAGTATAACTTGAGGATATACATAGTGATTGTATTCAAATAGGACGTGATGGAAGGAACAAAAAAATACAGTAAAATATTTGCTAGAAAATCAAACGTAGCAGAAAATTGACTCCCTAATACTGCACTATTTTAAAAAAAGAAAGACCTCTTTTGATTAAGGTACCTGAAAACGTACAATTGCCAGGCGCTCACTTCAAATAGGTTTGTGCAACATCTGCCTTAGATGTGCATGTGTTGGAGTGCGTTCAAAAGGTGCAGGATTGATTTATTACACTTCAGAAATGTAGTGAAGGAAGCCAAAACAACAGATTTGAAATTTTCCTTCAGCCCTCTCAGATTTTTCCTGTTCTGTTGGGAGACTTTGGTTGTTCTGTTCTGTGATGAAACCCAGGCCAGACAAGCCAACTGTTTCTATCTCTGCAAATATGTTTGATACCAACAACGTAAAACTAACCAGTGCAGATTATAGCTTTTCCTGGTGTACTTGAACACCTTCCCCCAAATTGGGAGGGAAACCTGA